GCAGCAGATTTGAAAAGTCTTTCCAGCTTTTAAAAAATTTTTTCAAAAAATTCTTTCAGACTACTGTGACAGTTGATCAGCTTTATCTTCTGCTTTACTAGGATGTAGGTTTTTATCTGTGCTGTTCATCCATGCGTATGTGCAGAATTTTTTGTTGAGTGACTCGTAATTACTTTGTTCTGATGTACAAAATGTTTTTGCAGTCGGCATTTTCGTTACTTCTGATATTCTTCCTTTCGGTAGTGCTGATTTACGGGCGAGGAACTAAACAGCAGGAAAATTTTTAAAGGAAAAAACATTTGTAGTTAGCGCTGGAGTTCCTTCCTCAGTGATTCTTCTAATCGTGTGCGGCGCATGCTTATTTGTTTCTTCACTTTCAATTAAAATCTCCTTTCAAAATGTATCTTCACAAACAATCGCGACAATTGCCGATGTCCACTGCACAGCAGCCGACTAAGCATAAGGACACCAAAAGCCCCGAAGCATTCGAATCCCCAAAAGCTCCAGAACATCACTGCAATTGGCAAGATCCAGAAGTGTAGTGCTAAACAAACTCTAATTTCTCCAGGAACAACAAATTTAGGCCGGAGATTAACAACTCTTCTGACCTGACTTCAAAATCTCGCCCACAACTAACGAGGCGGGTAATAACAACGTACAATCATTGATCAACACAATGGCGGGAGCGCAGGCGTCGTTTTTACGCGTTTTGTGCTGCGTAACAGCAGTACAAAACGCATATTGTCGCGGAATTGTCTGTGTGTATGTGTGTGTCCCACATTTTGTCTCGCGCTTTTAACTTGGGAACCACAAAAGCTAGCTGGGTGAAATTTTAGTGTAGTGCTCCTCACTAACAGTTGACGCGGCAAACTTAAATTCAGCTTTCCCGTACCCGCGGGTAACACGTACGGCCTCGTAAAATTTTTGGCAGGTAAAATCATTATCTTGGGAACCACGGAAGCTGGAAAACTGGAATTTTATGCGTATGTCCCTTGACCACGTGCGACCCAGAAAACTCGAAACATAGAAAACTTCCTGTACTCGCGGGTAACACGTACGGCACCGTAAAAGTTTTTCGGATAAAACCTTTATCTCGGGAACCACAGAAGCTAGGGAGCTGAAATTTTATGGGTATGTCCTCTGCCCGCGCGCGACCTAGAGAACTTAAACTCAACCTTCCTGTGTCTGCGGGTAACACGCACAGCCTCGTAAATTTTTAGCGGGTGAAATCGTTATCTCAGGAACCGCGAATGCTAGGAAGCTGAGATTTTATGGGTATGCCCCTTGACAGAAAAGGAAAAATTTTTAGCCCAGAGCCGGAAAATTTAAATTCAGTTTTCGCGTGCACTTGGGTATCGCGTATGGCCCCGTGAAAGTTTTGGTGGAAAATTATCTCGGAGATCATGAAATCTAGAAAACTGAAATTTCAGGACGATATTTTCTGCCGCTGCAGTATCTCACATACTCAAATATAGCTCCCAAATATGCAGAGGTCTTATGTAAAACTACTTGAGAATTGTGATGTGGAAGTCGTTAGCTCGGAAGCCGAAAAACAATATTAAAATTTCGAGGGGTGTTCCCCATTCATGTTTTCAAATTCAGCTTTCACATACCGGTATGTGAAATTTCCACTGAGAAATTCCTCACCTTTGTGGCTAGGCAGCATATCTATTGTTTTTCATATATGAAAGTGTAAAACAGTCATATTTTTAGCAAGCAAACGTCCGCTGAACGGAACTGCGCAAAACGCATGATTGCACCATCCTGGTGCGCTTCGCTATTTATTCTTTGCTAGATGGCTCTCGCGACAAGGGTTTGTACATGTGTGCAGCAGTGCTGATGTACTTTGTATTATAACATTTATTTGGTGTGATTTGCGTACGCAGTAGTTCTTACTTAAAAGTTTAATTTCCGAAATACAACTGTGCTTGAAACCACGGCTCCTGCATTCACACAAGTCTGGAAATGTGGAGGAATTTGTCAAAGCCCTGTCCAGTCGAGCTCCATTACATATAAAGCTTGACCACGTAGAAAGACTGGAACCTGTCCCTGGAATTATACTTTTCCGACGAATGACACAGGCAGTGATTTGAAATACGTACATAAACTGCGCGATTTCTTCTGGCTTGCAACCGCAGTTTACAGATTATCGTGCTCAACACAAGCGTATAGTGCTTACCTGGGAGGCAGAGAAGCACGTACACTTCTTATCGGTAATTTTCAGTTTTTAGCAGCTTCCTGCAGGCAATGTGTTATACTACAG